ATAATATCAAAAGCGTATTAAAAGCCTTCTTTATACGCTCTGGATAATATCACCCGCGCGCGCAAGTACGCGCTAAGTACGCGCTTAGGCAGACCTACACACAGGCGTGTATGTTACGCGTGTAGCTACGCGTGTAGCTACGCGTGTGCTCTCACTTGTTTTGTACGGGGGTGAGTCATATTTGTTGTCTTCGTAGCACTTCAGCGTCCAGTAGGGTAGCTCCCCCTCAGGCCAGTTCCACGGCCGCTCGTCGTTGGTACCAAAACACGCCGGTTCATTCATGTCCTAGACGCGCGATGGTAACGTACCTAGTTATTCTTATATATATATATATATATATATATATATATATATAATATATAATATAATACTAGTATATATCTACATATATAAGTAAAAACACACGGACACCCATGTAGATATGAAGAAAATGTAGAATAATAGAATAAGGGGTTAAATTTTAATCAGGAAGCTTTCGACACTCTTCATCAGGCTATAAAATGACAACCAATATATATATATATATATACGGTGGGAAAGAATCGTGGGTGGGTGGTGGGTGGTGGGTGGTGGGTGGTCCGACCGACAACCCACTGGTGTGGGTGTATGACAATAATGGTAGGATAGGCGATGGTGTGACGCTACGTAGTTTAGAAGTAAAGTTTACAGCTGCGAGGTAAATAGCCGATGCTACTACGCCAAATACACATGCAGAAAAAATGATTAGTTAATGAATAATGACTTAGTTTAATTAATTAATTTAATTGGCCGGCTTACGATCCAGATGGCGTCAAAGTTCAACTTCTGTCTTTCCTTCACGATGAGATCCTTCCACCATTGCTGCGTTCGCTCCAGGAAGAAATCAGGGAAGACAGTCTTACCTGTCGGCCACACCTATGTAATAAACATGAGAGTTATCGGTGTAGTACGAGATACTAATGCTAGTCAATGATGTAATACCAGAGTGGGGGGGGGGGACTGTGTTACACCGAGTCGCATGGAAACAAATCATGGGCCCACTGAAATACGTACGCCAGTCAATACTTGAGGCAGATGGGAAAGTGAATTAGCACGTGCCCCAATATGAGAGATATATAGCCGCATATAACTACAGAGATTTATCAAGAACAGTCTTTATAGTCAAAGACACTGCAACGCAGGATGCAAGAGAATCTAACGTTGATAAAATTATCGGATCAACATTGCGGATTGCAGTAGAAAAGGTCGTTAGATCGTCATAGATTCCCCCAATTCTGGTTCCCCCTCTCTTTCTCACATTTTTTTCTCTCTCCCTCCTCTCTATCTCACTTCTTCTCACACACACACACACACACTCTCTCTCTATCTCTCTCTCTCTCTCTCTCTCAATCACTCACCAACTATCTATCTCACTTCTCCCCCTCTCTTTCGCACACTCTCTCACTCTCTCTTCTCTCCCCCTCTCTTGCTCACTATCTCTCTCTCTTGCTCACTATCTCTCTCTCTCTTGCTCACTATCTCTCTCTCTTGCTCTCTCTCTCTCTCTCTCTTTTCTCGCTATATATATACGTAACATATATATATATATATATATATATATATATATAAAGCGACTCCATAACACGTACGTATCCCAGCATGTTGTCGTTATTGTATTCATCACGGTCAGGACTCCTTCCTTCGGCCCACTTCACAAACACATCCTCAGCAATGCCGGAGTTGTACGGCTCGTATAAACTCACGTTAGAGATGATGGCCGGATCCTAATAGTAAGGTGTGGTGAAACAATTCTAATATCAGATCACAGAATAGTGCATGGTTATAATTTCCTCAGTTTGATTTATTCCAGACGTTAGAGTGTAATAGTATTAGGAGTGTCCGAGTGTCATAATATCTATATCTATATCTATATCTATGTATTACTATAATCTATATATATGATTATATATATACTATATCTAATATATATAAATATAATATAATATATATATATAATATTATATCTATATATCATATCCTATATATATACATTATATATCTATATATATATTATATATAGCTATAATATATATACTATATTATATATAGATATATATAGACGACTATCATATAATATAGTAGTATATTATTGACACTTCTGATAGCATGGTAATAATAAAGACAGCACCTCCTGCTACACTACATCACAATTATATATAATCCTTCTACACCTCACTACATCAGTATATACTATCCTTACACCTCACTACAGTATATCATATAATCTCTACAGCCTACTACAAGTATATATATTATCTACACCTAATTACCTACAATTATATATATATCCTCTACACCTCACTACAGAGTAATATATATCCTCTACACCTCACTACAAGTATAGATCTCTACCTCACTACACAGTATATATATATATCCTCACACTCACTACAAGATATATATTATATCCTCCTACACCTCACTACAAGTTATACTATTATATATTCTCTAACACCCTCACTACAAGTATATAATATCATCTACACCTCACTACACAAGTATATATATATCCTCTAACGACTACACAGCTATATATATCCTCTACACTCTCACTACTAAGTATATCATATCCTCTACACCTCATACAAGTTATTAGATATATCATCTAAACCTCACTACAAGGTTATATATATCCTCTTACACCTCACTACATTATGTATCCTCACACATCACTACAAGTATATATATCTCTACACCTCACTACAAGTCTAAAACAAAAAATATATCATCTACACCTCACCTACAAGTTATATATCCCTACACCTCAACATACAAGTATATATATATCTACACTCACTACAAGCTATATATATCATCTACACTCATACAGTTTATATATCCTCTACATCCTCACTAAAGTATAATATATCCTCTACACCTACTACAGTATATATCCTCTCACCTCATACAAGTAATATATACTCCTCTAACTCACTACAATATATATTCTCTACACCTCATACAAGTATATTATATCCTCTACACATCACTAACAAGTATATATATCCTCTACACCTCACTACCCAAGTATAATATGATCCTCTACACTTCAGACAATAACTCAATATCATCTACCACTCACTACAATATATTATTCATTCACCTTATACAAGTCCTATATAATATCCCCTTTACACACTCACCTCAAGCTACTATCTTACTTCCTCTAGCACCTCTACCGCTCACAACGAACGTCAATATATCTCTACACTCCACTAAGAACGGTAATATATATCCTCTAACCTCACTACAAGTACTATAATACTCATCTACACCTCACTACAAGTATATATAATCCTCTACACATCAATAACAAGTATATATNGTATATATATATATCCTCTACACCTCACTACAAGTATATATATATCATCTACACCTCACTACCTACAAGTATATATATATCCTCTACACCTCACTACAAGTATATATATCCTCTACACCTCACTACAAGTATATGTATCCTCTACACCTCACTACAAGTATATATATCCTCTACACCTCACTACAAGTATATATATATAGTAGTGGTAGAGGATATATATACTTTTGTAGTGAGGTGTATATATATCCTCTACACCTCACTACAAGTATATATATCATCTACACCTCACTACAAGTATATATATCCTCTACACCTCACTACAAGTATATATATCCTCTACACCTCACTACAA